GAGGGGGAGGTGGAGGTGGGGATGGGGAGAGGGAGGTGTGGATGGGGAGACGGAGGTGTGGATAGGGAGACGGAGGTGTGGATGGGGAGACGGAGGTGTGGATGGGGAGATGGAGGTGTGGATGGGGAGATGGAGGTGTGGACGGGGAGACTGTAGTGTAGGTGAGAGAGACAGAGGTGTGGACAGGAGAGAAGGCAGCTGGATCCCAAGCAGTTCAAGTCCCAGACACAGAGGCTTGAAAAACATGTCAGCGGGGCCAGCAGGTGGTGGGTGGTTGAGGCACTGGACACTCCCACGCGGCCAACCATGGTTCAAGACCCGGACCATGTTCCTTCCCTCTGTGTCTCTCTGGCCAAATGAAAACGAATGAATGAATAAATAAAATTAAACAAGTAACTCTTAAAAAAGACATCAGGAAGGGGTCAGCAGGAGACGTGGTGGTTGGGGTGCTGGACTCCCGCACGCTCGACCGCGGTTCAAGTCCTGGGCCTGGTAGCTTGGTTTCTCACTTTCCCTCTCTTTGGTCCAATTGAAATAATAAATACAACTAAAATAAGCAATTCTTTATAAAGAAAACAAAGACACATCAGACGTGTGCATGCGTGTCCAGCACCCTGACAGGGCGGAGACGGAGAGGTGTCACACGCCGCCCGCCGTGTCCCCCACGGCGCGAGCACCCCTGTCTGGGTGCGTTCAGGACCCCCGCGTGCAGCCCGCCTGGCCACGCTGTGCTCACCGCAGTTGGTGTACCCCACCACGGCGATGGTGGGCAGCTCCCGCCGGGCCCGCTCCCTGCGGAGGACGCGCCTCTTGGCCCGCAGCCGCTCCAGGGCCCTCTGGATCTTGAGCTCCTTCTCCTTCAGCCGCCGCCGAAGGACGCCCCTGGGAGGGAACGGCCGGGCGGGGCGTGAGGGATGGGGCGCTCAGGGGCTGGTCCGACCGGCCCTGGGCAGCCGGCTGGGGGAGGCCGGGCGCCCCCCAGCCATGAGGTCAGGCTCGCAGGGTTTCAGATAAGCTGTCCCCAACCTTGGGCCGGGACCAGACCCCTGTAAGGCCGTTTGTGCACCCCTGGGGTGAGGGTGGTTGGAGAGCGAGTGACCTCGACCCTCGCACACGTGCCCACAGAGGGGTGGCGTTGCTGTGGGTCTGACGGCCCGCTGGTGTCACAGGAGGGCAGCGTGCGTCAGGGGTCACAGGAGGGCAGCGTGCGTCAGGGGAGCAGCCGGGGCGGCGGTAACACACACCACACTTCCCGGGCTCCCTGCCGCGCCTCCCGCTGTCAGCCCGGTAGCCGAGATCAGCTGGGGATCCCTCCCTGACAGGGCAAGGACAGGGTCTGCATCGGGCTGAGTGACAACCCCCAAAGGGTACACCATGTCCTCACCCCCTGGGCCTGGGAGTGAGACCTCATCTGGAAATAGGGTCTGTGTGGGCACAATGAAGGAAGGGTGGGGAAGGGAGTTCATCCTGGACTAGGGAGCTCTGAACACACCGGCCAGGGCACGAGCCGCACACAGAGGGGCCAGGTGGGGACGGAGCCAGACTGCAGTGGTGCAGCCACAAGCCAAGGGCTGCCTGGGGCCCCGGGAGCTGGGAGAGGAGGAAGGACGCTCCCCTGGGA